CGGTCACTCTCCGTCACCGGGACGCGGGAGCGGAGGCCCCAAGGGGACTTGCCCGCGCCCGACTGCGGGCCGCAGAGGCTGCTGCGGCGGCGCTCTGGCTTTCCCGACCCTCTTGGGGGCTGTTTTCCTGCCTGTGAGGGGAAGGGAGAGAGTCGTCACCAAAGTGTGTGTGTTGGGGTTGGGGGTGCTGCTCTCGGCTGCCGGGTCTTTTCTGCACTGGGCTGCGCGCGTGACCTCCGCCCTGCAAATGTCACAGTCCTGGCGTCCCTAGGGGGAGCGCAGGCCGCGAGGCGGGGGAGGGGACAGCACACCACCCCTACCCCTAACTCTGCCCTGGAGCCGGCCCTGGCCAGCGCCTCCTGCCTGACCTGTCTCCCAGGGAGTCCTGGTTGTTGACGCTGCAAAAGGACTTTAACAATTTCCGCTTGATTTTATTTTTATTTATTTATTTATTTATTAAAGATTTATCTACTTGATTTTAAAAGATTCTATGTCGGCCTCCTTCCTGATTGGGGCTCAGAGGTGAATCTCTGAGGGAGTATGCGGTGCTTGCCGGCGACCTGGGATCCAAAAAGTTGACATTCTGTGACACATAAATCAGATTGCTTTATAAATTATTTTTGCCTGCTAGGATTAAGGCGTTTCCATTTAGGATGTACTTTTGGAAGTACACTAGAATATCGCCTGGGATTTTGCTTAAGCAACCTGACTCATCTCTGTTCTGCTATGTAGGACCCCAAAAGCTCTCATAAGATGATTGCAAAAGGTGTTTCTTTTACTTTCAGTCGCCTTCTCCTGCTGAATTTCTAAACAGTACTCTATCAAGACCATCTCACATTTAAAATCCTGCCCATAGAATGATAAAGGGAACCTAGGTGCCTCTGAAATTTCATTTTACTGGTAAGAAAGCAGACCCTGAGGAATCAGATGAAACCTCGAAGGCCTTTAAACTAAACTTGGGACCAGCCCCATCAATGTCACTTGGGAACTTGTTAGAAATGCAGGTTCTTGGGCTCATATCAGATCTGTGGAAGCAGAGTTGTGGAGTGGACGGTCAGCACCCAGCTTATACTGGCATCTGCTAAAATTTGAGAACCAATACTATACTGGAACTAGATACAGCTGGAAGGGGTATTAAGCTTTCCAGGTCCAGTCTGTTCTCTTCAAAGTTCATCTTCTGACCCTGTGGCTTCTTGTAAGAGTTCCAAGGACATCTGTGTGTCCTAATTCTTTCATCTGTGCATCCTAGAACAGCACTGTCCAGTACAACTTTCTGGAATAGGGACCATGTGTCCACCTGGGCGTCTGTACTGCAGCTACTGGCTACTGACTGAGCTATGAAATATGACCAGTGCAGCTGAGAAACCAAAGTTTTGGTTTTTATTCATTTCAGTTTAATAATTAGCTGTGGTGAATGGCTCTGGTATTGGTCAGTTCTGCCTAGATTTTGGCAAATATGTGTGTGGTTTTTGTCTTACCCGGACTAATGGACATTTTGTAGCAGTTTCTCCCCAGCCTTAACTAGTTATAAAGAAACAGATTCTGGGAAAGAATAGTAAATTTTGAAGTATAAAACATAGGGCTGTTATAAATGCAAGTAAGTATAAAGAAAACAATTCCTTAACCCTACCACTCACAGATCCTTATTTGTAAATTTTCTGGTGTGTTTGTTTCTATGCAGTTATGCTTTTATATAATTACATAATTAGGACGAGAGGGTATGAAGTTTTTACATCACTTTTTTGAAGCTTACAAACATTTCCACATCACTTTAACAATTCTCCAAGAACAACAAACATGATGTATGCGGGGTAAAGAGAAAATTATTTTGGATTGGAAAGTTGACCTCTGAACTGAGCTGGCAGCTCTCATACGCTGGGCAGAGTTCATGAAGCCATTAACCTCTCTCTGTGTCAACAAAAACAGACCCCTGGTAATTCTGAGTTCTGTCCAGTCTCTGTCCTCAGCTATTACATTGCCACTAATTTATATAAAGCTATCCTTTATGAAACGAAGGCATGGTTATGAGAAGTGACTTTCTGAAAGTAACTCTTAATACCAACAAAAGAAACAGTATACCATGTCGATTATCTGTGGTTACCAGATAAAAACAAATCTTATTCTAAAACTAGAATTTTCAGTTCGTTAAGATATGCGAAGTTATACTTGACTATGGATATCATATTTTACTTGGAATCATTAATTTTGTGCACGTTGTTTAAATAATGACGACAGCTGTTTCTGATACTCCGGACTGGGCTCCCACTCAATTAAGTACTTCTTTTGAATTGCCCATTTCCCCTTAGAGAATGGAATCTTTCTGCCTTTTATTTGTTCAGCAGTTTAGTCGAAGGAACAGTCATGGGCATAAAGGAGAGGAAAGGCATGGAGTTAAGAGTGGGGTTAAGTTCTGGCTCAGTCATTTTCTTTTGGGTGCCCTTGGATGAGTCACAGGCGGGTACAAGTTGGCATGTGTTTCCTGTCTTACATAGTCGGGGTGATAACATAGTGCTAGAGCTGGCAGCCATCGTGAAGATGAAATGAAGCAATGCCAGTGGTTGTGTGTGTCACCAGGCTGTTTGATATCTACCTAGTGCCAGTTTTCTCTTGTCAGAGCCAGGCCAGCTAGAAAAGTTTACCTTCAAGATTTACTTTGTTTGCCTTAATTCACTTCTTAGGTAGCTTACCCCACTTCTGGGGCTCTTCAGCCTACCAGTTTCCATCCTCAGAAGTTCCAGTAAGTAGTCCTAATTTTATGATATACCTAAAAAAAGTTTTTCCAGGTTTTGTTCTGACTAAAATGTGGAAAATTTTGAAGACCGTGACTTAAATTTTCTTTCTTTTCTTTTTTTTTATTTTACAACAGTTTATTTTTATATCATTTTGTACATTTTTTTTCCATCTCAATTG